GAGCCACAGATCACAAGGAGTCAGTCACAGGTTCCCAAGCAGACAGAGGACCTAGGGACCCAGACTCAGGATCTCATGCAGACGGAGGGCCCATAGGGAGTTTCTTTTTCCTCATTCCTCTATTTTTGTGCTTATTTTGGTTAGTTGGCATTGAGGACAATGCCATCTTTCATTTAAGGGGGTAGCCCTAATTGGATATTTGGATGATTGTACATATGACAATATTTTATGCTCTCTTTCTTTTTTATCTTTGGTATGTATATAATTTTAGCATTTCATTGCATTTTACGTACTTTTTACTTTGGGTCTATATATAAATGTTATGTTCTTATGTATATATATTCATTCCCCCTATTGTATATTCTATTAAATCCCCTCTTGTACATATTCATTTAACTTTCCGCATTTGTTTTTCCTTTCTTAGCTTCTTATTTATGTTCGTAGCTTCTTGTTTTGAGTTTTTGCAATAATTCTTTGGTTTTCTTAATGTCACGGTTCTTTCGAAAGGTGGAATTTGTGTGAACCGGGTGGCTCTTCCCGATGATAGATGGCATGACAACTTTCTTAAGGGTTTGAGTTTGTTTTTCTTTTTGCTTTTTAGTAGTTAGTTGGTAAGGGTGACTCAAGCAAAGCTTCACTTGGGCCTAACACATTTGCCTTTGATCCTATGGTCAAAAATAAATCGTTGTGTATAGGATGGTAAAAGTTGTGACCTTGAGACTCTTGTGTTGGTCGATAATCATCAAGTAGTTTTTCGGGATCATTATGTGCTCAAATCTTATATAAGGTTGGTGTGTGCCCCCGACTCTATGTCTTTAGCAATCCCATAGCTGGTGTGGTGAGAATTTGAATTGCAAGTCCAAGTCCCGAGCCATTGGTCTAGAACTTGCCCTGAATGTTTGTTTAGGCAAAATCCTAAGTGTAATTTGACTTGAGACATGATTATAGGCTCTCCTTGATCCGAATGATATCTTGAACACTTCAATAGCCTACAAATGATAAAATCCCTAGTCAACCCTTTTGAGCCTTAGACCTTTTTCCTTCAAGAACCCCAATACAAGCCTCTACCCGTTCTAAAAATACCCTCTTTTGGAACCCCTTCTTTCTTTAGCACATGGCAAAAGTATAAGTTTGGGGGGAGAGACGAGGATTGCAACAAAGTGGTAAAAGGTACAAAATGAAGAAAAGGAAAGGCAATAAAAAAGAAAGAAAAACAAAAAGACAAAAAGAATGTTCAATGTAGAAAAGAATGAAGGGATTTAATAAAAGCAAAGAATGAAAGGTGTGGAAAGTTGAGAAAGGAGGAAGGATTTGAAATGAACGAGAAAGAGTGACAGTGTGTCTCTCTAACCCCTTAGAAAGAAGTGAAATGACTAAAAAAAGTCAAGTGAATGCGTGCCAAAATGAAGCAAAAGAAGTGCTAAAGGGAAGATGGAACCTACTTAGACCAAACATTTCCTACCCTAAACCAAAAGCCTTCACTATGTCTCCACAAAATCCCTATATAATCTTGAGTTGAATGAAGCTTACATTAGTGGTGACTCACATAAGGGGCAAGCATATGGTACTTAGAGCCGGACTTGTGACTCTTCCTTGAGAGAGATGAGTGTATTTCCATTAACCTCGTTCTAAGTGCTACTATCCTAAAGGTGAGGTTTGCTTAGGGAGAGTCGAGGATGTGTGAGTTTGGGTCCACAATGACCAAAGTGATAGAAAGAGTTTCTTTGAGGTGTTGAGTCAACTCTTGATGCTCTTGTGTCGCACTAAATCTATGGTGTTTAAAAGAGTGAATGTTGTTAATGATTCATTTGAATTGAGGGCAATTGTTAGTCCCAATTGATGCTAGATGAGGTCACTTTAGGTCAGCTAAATTTTCTTGGATTGACTCTTAAGGGGTGGGTCTTATTTTGTCTGCTTGAGGACAAGCAAAAGCTTAAGTTTGGGGGAGTTAATAACTAGGGATTATGATGCATTTTTATACTCCTTCTTGCTTATGTTTTGATTAGAAATGTGTACAAAATAATCCCAAAGGCTCACATGTTGTACTTGATTGCAAGGTTTGGTCAACAAGGTCAATTCATCAATACCAGCTCAAAAAAGATTGAAACATGCACAAGTACCAAGAACAAGGCCAAGCTCAGTATAAAAGGACTAGTGCGGCCGCACAGCATTTTGTGCGGTCCACAAAGAGGAGGTTCGGAGAATGCACACTTCAGGCAGAGAAGCAATGCTGCCGCAAAACATTTCATGCGGACCGCATTGATCTCATTGCGGCCACACTCGATTTCGTGCGGTCCGCAAAGCTCAAGTTCAGAGAGGTGCCAAGTTGGAGAAAAATTGCCAGTCTGCGGTCCATTTTGTGCGGACCGCAATAGAAGCCACCGCAGCCGCGGTGCATTTTGTGCGGCCCGCGGTGGCCAACTTCAGAGAGCAAATTGTTTCAGCCAAGAGCCTTAGTGCGGCCGCACTCGATTTTGTGCGGTCTGCACTAGCCCCGCCGGGGTATTTTTGTCCAAAATTTCCGGCCTAGTATAATTAGTTTCTTTTTCCATTTTTAGGTCATCAGTTGTATTTTGACAAAGTGTTGCGCTCGTGAACAATACTTCTTTTCTATTTAGAGTAATTTTAGCTTAGTTTCATCATTGAATCTTCAAGTTTTATCTAGTAATTAAATATTATGGGTTTTTCTTCATCTATTTCTTTGTTTTCTTCTATAATCATGAGTAGCTAGACCCATTAGCTAGGGTTATGGCTCAACCCTAGTGTGGGTAATTGATGGGTCTCGTGTTTTAAGGCTTGATTGTCTATGGGTGTTTGATATTTGGACTAATTTAGGGTTTTAATGTTGAATTAGTGGTTGCAAACACTAGTTTCTGCCTAGTTGACTTTGGCTCTTCTTGAGAAAGAGAGCCTAAGTCTATGAAATTGGTCCAACAAGAAATTAGAGCGTATTCAAGAGATTGATAGCCCCAATTAAAGGGTTAAACCTAGAGATAGTAATACCCGACTTGAACCTCAATTGCTTGCACAAATTATCATACCCAATTGGTCATGAGAAAGTTAATTAGGGCAAAATCACTCGAACTACCGAGAGGTGTAGAGTGAGTAGAATCGTGCAATGGTTATATCATACTCCCCAAATATAACAATCCAGCCTTAGACTCGAGAATCCGTTAATTAGCCACCTATGAGAAAGTCACTTCCCTAGTGCCTTTTAACTATTTAGACAACCTTTAATAGTTTACTTTAAGCTTTACTTAGCCTAATTTAGCATCTTAGTAGTATAAAATTAGAAGTAATATCAAAACCAATTATGAATAGAAGTGCAATTAGGAATAATTACGCAACTCTAATTTAGATAGAAACTCAACTCCAATCTCTAACTCCCTGTCGAAATCGATCCCGACCTTCTCGGGTAAAAGCTGCTTCGACCACTCTTGCTACTTTGTAGTAGTACGGGGTTGGCATCGATCAGCAATCCTAAAGCTACTTAAACGAGATAGAAGAACCAATTCCATGTATCTATCTTTTATTCTAGTTCAACTGTAGTAGGTGATTTTACATTGTACCTTTCAGCTTTCATAGAAGCAATTGTATTAGGTACCTAGAGTATTCAAGTTAGAGTTAACTAGAAGTTGTCGCAACAGTTGAGGTTGTGTGCCACAACGGGATTAAAGTTAATCATTAGGTTTACAAAGAGTTTGTAAATGTTGTTTTGGCTCAGTGATTTTAGTGGAAGTTTGGAAAAATCCTACTGAGTAGTAGGTCATGGTTTTTTCACCTTTTGAGCTAGGTATTTTCCATGTAAAAATCTTTGTGTTCTTTATTTTTTTTATTTATTATTCCGC